AATTTTATTTATTGATATTTCAAACTTTATTATTTTTATAAATTAACTATATTAAATTTACAAAATATATCTGATTAATAATATATATACTTTTATAATAAGTTATTATGCTTAAATTGTATATAAGTCATTGAAATTTATATTAATAAGTTTTATTTCGATTTTATATTGAATAGGCTATCGTTTACATGCTCCTGATAATACACCTCCTGCTGTTTATGAAATCATGTGTAAATGTTGGGAATATGATCCTCAGAAAAGGCCTCACTTTTCAGAAATTCATGCATCATTAAATATGATTGCAAGCACTACTTTGATGGAGGATACTATTGATTTATAGTATGTTTGCTAAAAATGCATTGCTAGTTATGGGAGCAATTTTGAACCATATATTTTTGAAAGATTATTTATGCTGTGAATAAGACTGAAAATGAAATAATATCTTGAATTTTAATAAGGATCTTAAATTCCTGGTTTGAAATATAAATTGAACAAATTAATTAATGGACAAATGTGAAGATTTCTCTGTGATAAATTAAGAATTGTCACAAGATATAATTACAAACATGTAATCACAAAGAGTGTTATTATGTAATAATTATGTTTGCTGCACAGTATTATTTTTTCAAATGGAGGGATCATTTAAATCATTAAAAATTTTGGGATATTTTGTTTTCTTAAAATGTAGAGTATGCATTTATTTTTCACATTCAGTTGTTGTGTTTTTAAGTAAACAATTATTTCTTATTCATCATCGTGGTAAGTAAATTAATCTTTATGTTGTATACTTAAAAAATTCGGTACCTTATTCAGTAGGATCAGTGCCCATGCTCATCTGCAATCAAAACATCATGCTGGTTTTAAACATGATTCGTATTATATGTCTACTTTATCAAACAAATTATACTAATTTCTTTTTGAGTTGAATTTGAGTTTTGACATGAAACCATAGTTTTTTTTTAATTTCCTAAATGCTTTTGTTTTATATTTCTGTTTAAAATGTTCTCTTTATATTTTGTTAAATGTTTTTGAACCCCTATTATTTTTTTACATATTTAGATACATTTTATTTAAAACTTAGTAAATGATATTGTAATATGTTATTTAGCATTATTTTTTAATTCATAAAAACAGTATTAAACTGAGTATTTAAAAAATTTACATTCCAACATGTTCAAAAGTACTTTGTAATCTTTGCTTTTGAAGTCATGTCAATGATTACATGTTGCATGTAAATTTATAGTAAAATTATTAGCTTTATCAAAATGTGTTTTGGGAAATGCTTATGTTTCTTTTTGAAAATTTATTTTTAAATTCGTATATTTTTAGCTTATAATACATTTTAATGTTGTAGCTATATATGTTTTTTGTTTTGGTCAGAGCTGTGTTATTTGTTTATCTTAGATTTTATTCCATATATCAGACAAGTTACGTTATTTTACATATATTATGTTATTTGTTTTAACATTGTCATATATCTAGTTGAAGCTATTTTATAGTATAAATGTATGGAAAAAGTTGTGTGTTTTGATTTCATGTTTGTATGTGTTTTATTTGAAGTGATTGTTGGACATTTAAGCAAGCTTTAATTACTATTGTGATCATCTTGTGTATTTATTATATTGTTATCATTTGAAATATGATTTTTGTTCAGTACAAAGAATGGTAATATTTTACTAGATAAGGATAAAAGTATTGATATAACACCTGTTTTTATCTGTTTGTGAAATGTGAAAGAAAAAATGAAGAACCTTAAAAGAGAGAAATCAAATTTGTTTTTAAAAATTTCTTATTGAATATTCTGACTATTTTCCCTTTTTTGGGGGGGGGCATCTTAGGTAATTAATGCATTTGGCAGCTCATATAATTTAAACATGTTAATAGTTAAAAAAAAATGTAACTTTATTCAGTAATCTTTCCAGAGAACAGCTCAGCCGATCTCTTCTGAAAACTGATACTCTTATTCATAGCTTATATTCAACTATGTTTGAATCTAGCCCTATGCATCTTTCCCAAACGTAATTGTGTAATTATAAATTTCACTATTGATTTTTATTGTTGTTATCATTTGAAAGCTCAAAAGTGTAAGTCTTGATTATGCTTTGTTTCAGTAAGCTTAAATGATTTTATGGAAGCTAGCATAATCCTTCTTCCTTAATTCTTAAATTTTGACAGAATAGGAAAATGAGCAGATAATGCAGTATTTAGTAAAGAGAGATTAACTGGTGATTATGTTTTGCATTGCATTTAAAATTTTATATTATAGTTTTCATTAACTTTTTATAACAATTTTTTTTATAAAAAAATATTTCAGTTTTTTATTCATTTGAAAAGTTTATATTACATAAGAAAATGTTTTATTCCATTGAATATTAAAGAAGCAGTTGGTGGTGTAGCATGATTAATGTTTGATATCTTTGGTCTGTGGATCTAAAATATTATTTACATTCTGTAAAACTGAATACTCTTATTTGTATGTGTAGTTATGATTTGATAAATGTGATTAAAACATCTGTAGAAATGAAATATAGAAATAATTTTATATTTTTATTTCTTAAAATATCAGTTAGGATTAAGTTGGAATATATATATGAAATTAACTAAGTTTATACCTAATAACCATTTATAGCTACTCTTGTTTTCTGTAATGCTGAATTTTAAAAAAATATTACCAAAATCAATGTGTGATTTTATGAAATCTAAGCATTTTACATTGAGAATAAAATTTAAATTGATATATCAGTTTATGCAATTCCAGTCTATGAGCGTTAACTTTTTGATTGTTATTATTTTATAATGCATTAATACTAAGTGATAAGTATTTAATTCTTTTTATTAATTTATATTTAAGCACAAAAATCTAAAAACCTCTCAAAAACTGTCAATAGCTAAGGCAGAAATGTATTATCTATATGCACAGTATTTGTCTTAGCCCTTGTGAACTTTGAATGTGCACATGATAAAATTAGTGTAAACTGTGTGTGAAAGCTTTATTGCTAAAATTCTACTGCAGTGCAGTTCACATTTATGGTATTCAACATAACCATTATCTTACATCATATGGTGTGTAAACCTATTTCCCTGCCTGTTGAATAGTTACTCCTAATGCTAAACTTATCTAACAAATGTGATTGATGATTTATTTCAACACTACTGCCCAAAAATTAATTAATATATGTAAACTTCCATAAAAGCATTATTTACGCACAGTGTTAACCAAGTTTACCTGATCTATTAATACCCATTTTTTAAATTGTCTGTATACCAGGTACTTACAATGTACAATAATGATTGCACTATACAAATACTTACAACATACAAATACATACAATATACAGATACACACATATAAAGGTCAAAGTTAATGTTTAAAGCTGCATTTAGATTTTTGTAAGGTACCTTGTATATATATATACAGTGGCTCCCAAAAGTGTTTCGAACATATGATTTTTCTTGAATCGGGCTCTAGCCATTAATAAAGTAACTTTCTGAATGAATTTTATAAGAAGCTTTCTATTCGTACAAAAAAACATGAAATTTTTTTAAATATAGTGAAACTTTATTTTTAAATTAATAATAAAAAATTGCAAACGTTTTATCTCACAAAAGTCTTCATACACTGAAATATTTTTGATAAAATCAAAATTAGAATTATCCTTTGCTGCTTTTTTTAATTTTTGCATTGTGGTCGCATTTAAAAAATCGTTTGCTTTAATTTTTTATTGTCCACTTCATTATATTCTATTTATTATTGAAAAATGGGTTGCAGTTGTAAAGAAATTACAAACAGCTTTCGAAAATTGATAATTTTTCACCTTAGTAGTGGTAAATCAATTCGAAATATCGCTAAATTAGTTAATTTATCCCATTCTATATGTGATTATATATATCCCATTCTATATGTGCAGTATGTGATAAAATGTTTTAAAAAAGAAAATCGGATTGAAAACAAGATAAGAAAAGGTCGATCGAGAAAGTTAACGAAACGTGATAAGGGATTTATTATTAGAAAATTTGTGAAAATCCCACGTTTCAGTGCTATAAATGTTTCTGCAGAATTTAATGCAAATTTCTCCTTATTTTCGCCTAACTGTTCGACGAGTTCTCAGAGAAGCTGGATTACATGGGCGTTCTGCTCGTAAAAAATTTTTTGTTAGTGAGAAAAACAGAAAGCTTTAGGCTTTCATTTTCAAAATCAATGATAAATACACCTGAAACGTACTGGAATAATGTCCTATTTGCTAACGAAAGCAAATTTAACATTTTTGGTTCCGATGGTCGAATAATGCATAGAGAAGATAAAATGAGGAACTTCATTCAAAGAACTTAATTGGAACAGTTAAGCATAGTGGTGGAGGTGTTCTTGTGTGGGGGTGCATGGTAGCATCAGGACTAGGTATTGGTATTTATTGATGGCATAATGAATCATTCTCTTTATTTAAATATTTTAAGAGACAATTTAAAATTATCGGCCCAAAATTTGGTTATTGGAAACAATTTTATTTTTAATCATGATAACGATTCTAAGCATACGGTTCTCAACGTTCGCCTGTAGTGTCTCTATAATTGTCCGCAGGTTTTGAAAATACCACCTCAGTTGCCAGATTTAAATCCCATAGAACACATTTGGGAAGAACTGGAGGTTAGAATACGAAAACACTACATCAAAACGAAAAGCGAACTCAAAACAGTCATGATGGAAGAATAGATGAAAAATGATACAGAAATTACAAAAAAAAAAAAAAAAACTAGTAAAATCTGTTTCCAGACGTTTAAAAGCTGCTGTGTATGCTAAAAGGATATCCTACTAAATATTAATTTAACAAAAATGAAAATATTAACTAATATGTCAAGATTTTTTTTAAGTGTATGAAGACTTTTGTGAGATAAAATGTTTGTCATTTTTTTATTATTAATTTCTTAAAAATAAAGTTTCGCTATATTTAAAAAATATTTCGTGTAATTTTGTTATGAATAGATTATAGATCTTATTATTAAAATCTCATTCAGAACGTTTACTTTTCATTAATGTATAGAGCCTTATTTCAATGAAAATCATAAGTGTACGAACGTTTTTGGGAGCCACTGTATATAAAAAAAATGGGAAATAGTCTTTGCAGTTTGAAAACAAGGCTTAAGGTTTGAAAACAAGCTTAAAGTTTTAAAAACATATCCTTTTGTAGAGCAAATACTTATCAGTTGAAATTTTGCTTACTTACTTTTATAGCCTTTTGAGGTCATTGAATGAGAAAACTAATGATCATTAACACTGTCTCTTGAATAAGGATAGCTATTATGCTTTCGGATTTTTTTTAGGATTTATTAACCAAAGGATTATAATTCCTAATTTTATTTATGGAAGTCAGAGTTTTGACTGCGACTCATTTAACTGTGAGGAGGACATGAAACATAGAATTTCTGAGTTTCATATTTCTAAGAGTTTTATATCTTTTCTTCCTCATATTTGTAGTGTGGATCTTGAATTTGACCATTTCATCTAGAATAATTTATAGTAACTTTATCAATGTGCTATAGGAGAGTGATTATTACCAGTAAAATCATAAATTTGATAATGATATTATTTATAGGGTCAAGAGTCCTGTGACGCTACATATAACTGCAGACCATTTCAGTGTATTGAGTTTTAGTTTCCATTTGCTGAATCTGATACTAACATTTTATATTCTAAAGTTTCTTGACAGCAAATTGGATCTAGATGTAAGCCTAACTGCATCCCAACTATAATGCATTTGATTTTTTTAATTGTCTGTATAGCTTTTATTTTGCTTAAAAATGTATATTTAACATACATGTAATACATAATGATAATTTTATAGAGACTTATAAGATGGAAATGTAAACCCTAATGTTTTCATTTTAGTTCATTTATTTATGTATTACATTCCTCCTCTTTCTTAAAAAAATAGTTTAACTGTTTATTAGCAAGCATCTTAAATGTAAACCCTAATATTTTCATTTTAGTTCATTTATTTAGTATTACATTCCTGCCCTTTCTTAAAAAAATAGTTTAACTGTTTATTAGCAAACATCTTAAAACAAAAATGCCTAAAATAAAATGCGTGTATGAACTGTATAAATTCCTACAGTAAATGTGATAGTATAAAATACTGGAAAGTAACTGAATAGCATACTATAAGCTAATTAGTTTAAATTGTAAAGTTAAATGTTAACTATCATCGTTATTAAAGTATGATATGAAATTTCAGGGAAAGACTGATGTTTGTATTTGAGCTCTGCAGTTTGCTGGGTTAAGGACCGTTCCATTATGAGCTAATGGAGTCAGTTTCTTGTGTCAACTAGTGTTGCTATGCCTGCAGTTCATATTTTTCAACTTGCTGCTCTGTGGGGAAAAACTGGTTTTGGAGATGGGTTGGCTACGTGAGTTGTCTCTGTTAGCTCAGATAAACCCCATTAGGAATGGGCCTTCTGAATTAGAATTCAAAAGAATGGAAATTCACAGACTAACTACAGGGTAGTTTTTCCGCAGTTTAACAATTTTTTGAAATTTACTTCTGCACTCTGTACCTGTTATTTAGTCACATTCCTGTCAATAAAAATAGAGTTTAAAAAATCAGTATCATAAGAATTTCACGTAAATTTACAGTATTTTTTAGCTTTGCTCAAAGTAATCATGCCTTACAGCCATGTAGATAGATGGTTACCATCTCTGTACATTATTAAATATGAGTGTTCCTAAAATGTAGTATTCATAAAATTATGAATTCATGAGGATATTGTTAAAATTTATTATGCAGTTTTTTTAAGAAACGGTTAAAAGATGTATAGATTCATAGGAATTGTATATTTATTAAATGTGATGTATTTTTTTCTTTTGCATATATATTATCTAGTCAAGAATATTTTTATATACTGTTTAATAACAACATATAGAAAGTGCATTATATGAGTGTTTTTTTTTTTTTTTTTTTTTTAAGATTTTATAAGTTTAAATAAATTGCATTAACATGCTTGTGCATTCAAAAATACGGTGGTTGTATTAAGATTATTACAAGTATATCCCATTTTTTAAATTAAATATAAACATTTAGGAAGCATCAAATTCAGCAATTAATATGTAATTAAATTAATTTCTGAGAAGTAAAATTTGTGCAATGAAACATATTTTATATCTTTTTTAATATATATGAATTATAAAATTATTGATTTAATTATCTTCTTTATAAAATAGATATCCCCCACTTTATAAAACATTTGTTACATACTTCTCACTTTTATCAAAGATCTAAATTAGTACCTTTTCATTAACTGAAAACATAAATGTACATTTTCATCAAAAGTTCTAAAAGTACTTTTCTTTTTACGAATATAGTGAAAACATTATTCAGTGTTTGTTTTATGAAATTGTCTCAGAAGAGTATAATTGTAACAGGAATTCCTGTGCACCTGAAAAATCCTAGAAAGTTGGGAATGAAAAATTCTCAGTTTTGACGAGAGAAAATTCTCCATCTCCTTGGCCCTGTTTTTGTTTAATTTTCATCTTATTATGCATTTGTTGATTATTTTTGCTTACATAACTCTAAAAAAAGATTAAATAAGATGTTAATGGCTGTGCTCTTATCTTACTTTTAAGATTGAGCAATTTATTATGAATGGATAATTTAGCATTGCTTAAATATCCTGGATTAAATTCAATTAAATTACATTGCTATGGATAAAAACAATTCCCAAATATTGTGATATTATTTGCTGTTACTGCTGTTATTCCAGCAGTGAGTTTTATAGCAATGACCATATAGTTTTCATTTCCTTTCTGTGCTTTCCATAGACAATTTTGTTTTACACTGATGTTTTTATAATAGTAATTTTTCTATTTATCTTTATTAAGCGTATTTATTTATTGAAAGGGCTCAGTGGATCAGAAATTAAATGTCTTTCTGTTTTTATGGACTGAGTCAAATAGCTGCCAAAACTCACAAAGTCCAGAATAAAATTCCCAAGTTTTAGTGTGTCTTAAAATATCCTGTTCTTCCACATCTTTAATTTTCCCTTATAAAAACATTAAAAGAGAGCATTGTGGGTCTCTGAAAGAGCACTGCACATAGTACCCTATACTGGCTTACTGGATCCTGTATATTTATCACATCACTTGCATCTTTACTTTGCACTGTTCCACTTAGAAAAAGGTATCATAGCTCTGACTTAACAAAGTGGGGGAGATCTGTACAGAAAAGTTGTAAATAAAGACAAGTAATATGTAAGAAAATATTTTGTGCTGCTGTTTAAATTTACGTAAATTTTTCTGCTTAAAATATGTTTTAGTATAACATCTTGGACGTTATTATAGAAGCGAAATGTACTGTATCTGGGATTTTATTATGCCTAATAAATTCCAATAGTTGATCAAAAGTCTCAGTGAATTTTAAATACCTCAACATATTTGATAGCTGCATGCAGTATGTAAATTGATTTTAAAATATGATTCTTAGTATACCATACATTATTTTTTAAATGTGCCTGCACTAGGTATCTCAAAATGAAATATTTTCTTATTAAATGTATTTATAAAACAGTTGTAGTTAAGGCTAAGGAAAAATGCACAGTATAAAACTTTACAATTATCAGGTGCAGATAGTTTCAAATTCCTGTTACAGTTACACTGAATATATGTACATAAAGTGGGTTATACCTGTTGTCTTAATATTTCATCAGTTAAAATTTTCATACATAATTTGACCATTGTAATTGAATTTTTCATCTCTGCATTTATACTTTTTATGTGCCAAATTCAGAAATGAATTTCCATTTGGAATAACTGAGTGATGCCTTGAACTTATACAGTGAAACTTTACCATGTTGTTCAATCTGAAATGTACAATTTTTACCTACTTCATATGTATTTCTTCTTTTTGGGGGAAAAAAGAAGAAAATTTTATATTTGCAGTTATTTATTCGTACTTTATAGATTTGTCTTCCAGGTATGTCAACTGTTGTTTGTATTTTCTTTTTTTATTTTACTGTAGTGTATATATATACACGTATGTAAAATTGCAATACATTGCATATGTTGTAATAGTTTTGTCGCTTACAGTTTCAAGTTTAGTAATTCCTTGCAGTTATTATAGCTTTAATATTAGCTAAATGTTTTCAGTAAATTTTGAAGCTTTCTATCTCAGTGTATAAATTTCTATTAGGGAATTTTAGGAGGTTAAATGTGTAAAGTTATGCTAGTAATATAAATTTTAGTATTATATATTTGTGTTGAAAATTTTAATTAAGTTTTTTCTGTATTTGATGTTTGTAACGTGTTGATAGAACAGTTTGTATGAAGAAGCTATAAGTGTGAAATATTGTCTTTAAGAAACTTTTTCTTCTCTTCAGATTTATTTCCGTATTGTTAGAAATATTTTAATAAATTGAATTGAAGTAAATATGCAATAGCTGTCTGATTTTTGTAATACAGCACAACTGTGAATTTCTAAAAACTGAATATAATACATTATAATATCCTGTATATTACAGGAAATTTATGCTGAAGCATTTTTTCTGCATTTGTCAAAGTAAACTTTTTTATTCCTGTTATGTAGCGAGAATTTTTATTTTCATTCCAAGTAATTAGGTTAACGTTTGAAAGTGGTACACTGTTTGATGTGATGTTCAGGGCATAACAATGATATATACAGGATGATTTGCTGCCCCATTTGCTATCTTCTGGGAGGTTAGATTACTTAAATATGAATCGTGATGAAATAGTAATGCAGAGTCGAAAACACAATCGCAACATTAAAAAGAGGTATCATTAGGAAACCAGTGAAACGTCCGCACAAAAAATTATCATTCGACAACTGCCTGCAGAGGTAAGAGGATGGAAGTTATAACAAATGCGAAGTTAGTAGATATGCATCTAATATACTGAGTTACTGATTGTAATGGAAGAACCAGTGTGCAACTTCACTGGGAAAACTGTCCCGCTGAGGTGTATTTCCGCACCTCATCGGATAGCTTTTCCGCCAGACATTCATACAGCTGCATCAAAGATTATGTGAAACGGGTTCCTTCGAAAGACATGCTATGAATGGGGAATAAAAAGATGATTCTTAAAACAAAGAGATGGTTCTTCGTCATACAGAAGACTCTCCACAGGGCAGTACACAAGCAATCGCTACTCCCGTTTTCCCCCAAACCACCCCTTCGGTTTAGAGGATCCTGAACTCGAACCACTTTCACCCATACCAAGAGTAGCACGCGTAGCTACTATGGCTTGATAGTTATCCATAGAAATTTAGAAGAAGGGTGTGGGAGAGGCACTTTTTTCGGCTTGCCTTGTTCACTGACAACGCATATTTCAGCAGCGAATGTTTCTGCAGGTCGCTAGGAGGAAGGGGTACCCAGACTTGGCTAGCTCAAGGCTGCCTAAACACAGTTAAACGCCCCAGCCCCTAGAAGAAATCCAAGGAGCCGCTAACCTATGGGTCGAACCCAGACTAAACCGAGCTGGTAGACATACTCAGCAATTTACATTCCACTTCCCCGGCAGGGAATGTAAAAACATCTGCCATCAACAGGAGCCCCAACCCACGGCCAACTGCACGCCCAACCCCGCACAGCAGAACGAAGCATCTAAAACATTGTCAGACAGACCGGGCCACCAATCAGGCCTCTTAATACTATGTCATGGTATACACACGTCGGTTCCAGGCGCCCCCAGGTAGACAAACCAAGGAAGAATATGAATATGCAGTATTGAGGCTCCAGGCGCCCACTGAAAACCTCAAGCAATTTAAGGGCTCGCCAACTCCACCGACAGGAGTATTTCTTCGGGACAACCATGAATATCTGACTCCACCACAATATACAGGGTTCGGACTACAATCCGGTACCACCCGTTTAACTGCCGAACGGCTGCAGCTAAATAATCGTAAAAGTGGTGTCTACATATACTAAAGTGGCTATGCGCTACTAGATGAGATAGCTTACAGCGCCACCTGGTGGAAAGTATGAGTTAGCGTCCCTATCTCGAAAACTATACGCGATAGGTAGAAAAAGTGAATTACGAAGTTGTAGAGCATGGTCGATTTAGTACTAAAAAATACTTTGTGGACATGAATGCGCATTTGTTTGTTCGCGATTTCTTACATTGTGACGTCATGAAACTATCTTAGAATCAAGAAACAACTAGTTACCACAAGCTACCTTTATTTTCGATGTTCAAATTTCTCTCCGTCAGCTAAAATGCACATCTGGTTCCTTGCTGAAACTTTATGTTGCATGCGTTGTAACATAACGATTGATACGTTTGCACAAGCATCTGTAATACGCCGTTGAAGGTCCTGCAATATTCGTGGAGGGATTCCCACAGAAAAACGTTCATTGGAGTCAGGTCAGGTGAACGTGGAGGCCACTCTTCGAAACCACCATACCCGATTATTCGTTCTCCGCATTCCTCCATCAGGTACTGCTTCACTTGGGACGTCTTATGCGCAGGCGCGTCGTCGTGTTAGAATCATCCATTTCGAAGCTGAGGCAATGGCAAGTTCTCAGCAAAATTGGGTAGTATGTCTTGCAGAAGTTCTAAATATCGTGCGGCTGTTAACTTACCATGATAAAATATTCGGGAGATTCTAAATTCCACACCAAACATTAATCGAAATCCGTATCTGATGTCGAATGTCGGCAGAACGGGATGGATTTTTTCAGTGCCCAGTAATGGGTGTTTTGCATATTTTCATTCCGCGAAAAGCATGCGTCATCCGTCTACACGATATCTGCCAAGAATGTTAGCTGGACCTCTATCTGATTCATGACGAAGTTGCACCATGCGAAACGTCTCTCGGCATCCCCGTCCCCCCGTCTAGTAACGCCTGATTAGGTGTTGGCTGGTATGGATGAGCACCTAATTCATTTAGGACTTTCTAAACGCGACTTTTTGAGAGACCACAGTTTTCACTTATCTCTCTTGTGCTGCTGTTTAGATACGTGTGGGCGTAGTTAGAGGGGGGCACCTGTCCCCGGGCGCAGAATCCAAGGGGCGCCAAACTGATGTTACAACATTTTAGAATTAAATGTTCTCCATCCTTGGCAAGCAGTAGGGAGTGCGAAATGTCCAGTTGTCCCTGGGCGCTGAAAACCCTAGCTACGACTCTGGGGCATATGATACGACATCTTTTGGCTGAGCATACCTTAGCTTGTCTGCCGGATCGCAGTCTGTCTTCCTTCAACGTTTTTACAACCTGTAAAAGGGTTTTGTGTGAAATATGCTGGCCTGCAGGAAAATGTTGTCAATACAACCGCGCTGCCGATCGTGCTTTGCACCCACATTCATCGTAAAGTAGAACCATCTCATGCTAATCATTTTTTGAAAATCGCTCCATGACCATGAGCTTCAACATACAACCTTGAGGAGATGCCTCTTTTATAGTTGTCTCAGGTGAACATGCGTGATGTTTCATATACTATTTGCATAATGCAAAAATTCGCACACCAAGCTTGAGTTGAAGCGTTTTGGAGACGATTGTGCACGATCTGCATGTTGTCTACTATGCCTGAAATGACAATTAGTACAAGGATGCACCTCGTGGGGTTTGAACCACAGTCATCTCGATTGTGAATTACAAGCCATACTACTGTGCCGCGATACGGGCTCGTGTTTCTTCCGAAAGATTATCTTTTCTCCTTTCGCTCAAGTTTCATGACGTCACAGTTTCGGAAATCCCGAAGAAACAAATATGAGTTTTCAGCGTTCTGTTTTTAACATTCATATCCACAAGATGTTTTTTCGTACTAAATCGACGATGCTTTACAACTTTGTAATTCACATTTTCTTCCTATCCAAGCCCAGTTCGACTTCATGCCCAACCGGGTAAGAGCCGTTTTAGCTGCCAAGGGTTGTATTTACTCTCCTTCATGGTGTTGCAATTTTAATGGCCAGCAATGTATATACACGCTTTTTCTCGTATTGTTTTCGAGACAGGGACGCTAATTTCACCGTTTTCCACCAGGTGGCGCTGTAAGCAATCTCATCTATATTGCTTTCTCATCTAACCACTTCACTATTCCTAGAGACCACTTTTACGACTATAGCTGCAGCCGTTCGACAGTTAAACCGTGGGCACCCTGTATACACTGCTGACTATTAAAATTGCAGCACCAGGAAGGAACCGTTTTCCACCAGGTGGCGCTGTAAGCAATCTCATCTATATTGCTTTCTCGTCTAACCACTTTTATGACTATAGCTGCAGCCGTTCGACAGTTAAACCGTGGGCACCCTGTATACACTGCTGACTATTAAAATTGCAGCACCAGGAAGGAACCGTTTTCCACCAGGTGGCGCTGTAAGCAATCTCATCTATATTGCTTTCTCGTCTAACCACTTTTATGACTATAGCTGCAGCCGTTCGACAGTTAAACCGTGGGCACCCTGTATACACTGCTGACTATTAAAATTGCAGCACCAGGAAGGAACCGTTTTCCACCAGGTGGCACTGTAAGCAATCTCATCTATATTGCTTTCTCGTCTAACCACTTTTATGACTATAGCTGCAGCCGTTCGACAGTTAAACCGTGGGCACCCTGTATACACTGCTGACTATTAAAATTGCAGCACCAGGAAGTAATACTCTGACGAACGTCAAAATCACATAAAAGGATAAAGAGGTTTGGATATGCAAATGTTTAGATTTTAGCGCATTTAGACGACGCAGGAGGGAGAAACGATATCTGAAGCACTGCTTAAAAGAAAAGCTGTGTAGTAGATTTGTCATTCGGAAAGTGCTTTGTAAAGTCGGAGTTTGATCAGAATATCGTGTTATGCTTCGAATAATGTGAAGAAATGCTTATCAGCAAGTGTCGAAATTCGCTAAAGGCAGGGTCGTTCCCTATCGAGAGTATGGATTACCGTTCCGGGATAACGCCAGTCGCACTGGTCGACATCCAACCACTATCAGCCAAATATGGAATCAATGGATAGCTGAGAGTCATACTAAACGCCATGCACAATCTCAACGCCCTCCCGTTGACTAATGCTCGAGAGGACAGACATATTGTAAGGTCAGCCCAGCAAAACCGTACAACCACACGAACTATTAGTCAGAAAATGTGCATGTTTTCACCACGCTCAGTATCCGCTCGTACAGTGCGTCGACGTTTGTAGCAGCGTGGACTATCAACAGGGCGACCATTATTTCGTCTTCTCTTCACAATGCAGCATAGAGAGAGACGGATTCTGGTGCGCCGAACGACAAAGCTGGATACAGGAGTGGCACAATGTCATCTTTTCAGATGAGTCCCGGTTCTGGATGTAGTATTCTGATGGCCGTATACGTATTTGGAGGCCATAAAAAGACCGCACGTCGCCTGCTTGCATTCGATATCGGCATAGGGGCCCTGCACCTGGTATGATGGTTTGGGAAGCCATTGGATGAACGACACGGACATCTGAGTTTCGGATCGATGGTAATTTAAACGCAGATCGGTACATTTCTGACATCTTATGCCCAGTGGTTGTGCCCTATCTTCGAGGTCAGCCAAACGCCATCTTCCAATAATGCAAGACCACATGTTGCACGTCGTGTTCTGACCTCCCTCGGTGCACAGGGTATTCGATTGCTGCCTTGGCTTGCACGCTGTCCAGACCTGTCACTCATTGAAAACATCTGGTCATGGCTTGCTAAGAGGCCAGCTCGCCGCCCCTCTTTAGCTAATTCGGTTGACGAAGTATGGCATAGACTTGAAGCAGTATGGAATGAGTTAGACGTTTTTGTCATCTAAGCCCGATTCGACTTCATGCCTAACCGGGTAAAGGCCGTTTTAGCTGCCAGGGGTTGCCTTTGCTTTCTTTCATGGTGTTGCAATTTTAGGGGCCAGCAGTACAGTAGCTCCACCACAACCAAAGGAACGGACAAGTCGAGTCCGAATCAGCTAGCGATGATTCTAGTCCTGCGAAGACATTTTATACCCCCGTGGCCGAGATTGCCTAGGTACAGATCCTAATGAGTAGCTTCCTAGGTGTAGTAGCTTCCTTAGCTGTGACATTTAAATTCGTTATTTAGAGAGCAGTGGATCGGGCGTGGTCGTCCCATTCATTGATTTGTGGACCTATCTTTCCTGTTGGGACCAGACATACCAAATTTTATGTACTATATACGAGTGACAGTGAGGAAGATCATGTCTCTCGCCTCCGCGTGCTGTGGCGGCCATCCAAGAAATGCCCGGAACACTTCGAAACATCCGCGATTCCATTCAGTGCTGATATCAGACTTAACGCCGCAGCTGGTAGCCGATATTTCGAGCACCATCTGTGACCTATCTAATATCGCAGTTATTATACACTGCCTTCCAAAGGTTAAGGAACAGCATGTTTTTCAAAGCTCACCATTACAAAAATGTCAGTAACGTTTAAATTCACAGTTGATATATGCATGACAGTGACAAAGTTTAAGAAAATATATGCAAAAACAATATTACAGTTTCGTGGCCAATATCCAGGAGAGTCTATCAATGTCTAGGATAAGTCGTTTGCCAGATTCGTTGAGGTTGCGGCCGATTGGATCGATGGAAATAGGGATGTCACAAGCTGATATTGCTAAACGTCTCAATGTCTCTCCAGTGTGGTCTGCGGACTATGGAATCAGTTTGAATCCGAGGATTCTATGTCTAGATGACATGTTCCAGGCAGATCTAGAGTTACAATACCTGCGGAAGACCGTTATTTAGCTCTTTCGGCCCGAGAGAGGAGTAACATTACTATGTCTCATGGCAGATCATTTCGTGGTAACAGGAACAAGAATCTCAGCTACTGCAGTGCGCTGTCGCCTGCACAATACAAATCTGTATACAAGACGACTGGTTGCTTGTGTCCCCTTGACCCGAGGACACAGAGGTGCCCGTTTATGTTGGCCAAGAGAACACGTCTCCTTGACCAGTCAACAATGGGCGTCTGTTCTCTTCACAGACGAGTCCAGATTCACACTGGAGAGTGATTGAGGTCATCAGCTGCTCTGGAGGGAACAACGCATCAGATACAGCCAATCCCGCATTGGGGAAAGACACAGTTGCAGAAATGGTGGAATAATGGTTTGGGTTGGGATCTCTCTCGGTGGTCAAACTGACCCGCATGTGTCTCATGGAGGAACTTTGACCGGTGAAAGATATCGAGACGAAATCTTTGATCAATATGTCCTCCCATATGCCGCTGCTATTGGTACTAGATTTTTTTCTGATGGACGGCAATAAGCGACCTCACCAAGCGTGAGTTGCTGAAGAATATCTTGAGGGTTACGGTATGGTGCTGATGGAATTACCAGCTCAATTCTCAGACCCGAATCCGATAGAGCATCTTTGGGACTATCTTGGGAGACAGGTTTCTGCTTTGCGTCCTCCTCCAAGGTCGTTAGATGAACTTGAACAAAGATTATTCCCTGTCTGGTCGTTGCTTTCCATTTCACTGACCGACAACTTAATTGACAGCGTGGAACGTCGCTTCCGCCTATGTATTGCAGCTAGGGATGGACACATTCCCTTATTAGAACCCATTTTTGTTATGTTACCACCCCATTTCTTCTCAAAAAACCGTGATATACTTTTTCTCCAAGATTGTATTTCTCTGCCAAGAGCGAAATTTTTCGTTGTAATTCATGTTTGTGTTGAATTATAGAAACATTCTATGACGCATCCATTAAAGAACTGTTTAGTGAACATGTCCTGTAAATTTCGTGTTTCTATGTTGCTTCGTTCTCATATTAGACACAAAAACATGCTGTTTTGGAGGGCAGTGTATCTTGGTGAATAAAATAATGTTTTTCACTTATATGTTAATCTTAAGTTATACGGAAAGCTGACTTTAAGTACTCTGTAATGAGTTTGTTTTTCATAGTGTAAAGGAAGCCAAATTGGAGAAATTAATTTTTTATTATAAAATTTGGTTTAAATATCAGTGATTGAAATTATGGCATTATGATTGTTTTTTGTTAATCTAGTGTATTACATGGAAATTGGCAGTTATCAATGTTTACTTTTCCCACCTAGCATTTCCTAAATGTATGGAAACCATAAGAAACCATATAAATACATTTCAAATCTTTTCATTTTGCATTTGTCACTGTTTTAATGATTTTGTGCTTATTTCATTTTATCTTCCCATCCCTGCATCTAATCATCGATTTTTTTTTATCTTTTACAATTTTGTTTTGTGATACTGAATAAAAAATCAGTTATGTCTGTGCTTGTGTTAATTGTTTTTCCAATTATTATTCTTAAAAATACTTTTTTCTTGTACTTGTGTGTTATTATAGCGTTAAATGGTAGAAGTAAAACTTCTTGAATTAAAATGTATTTTTCTTTATAAAGGAAAGATTTCATATTGTAATACAAAAAAGCCATTGAGAAAACCAATATTAGTGGCTTACATTCACAGATGTTATTATGTGTTGTATCACATTGCAAAACTTTATTTGGGCTATCCATTCTGTTAATAAGACCTCAGATAAAAATCAACCAAATCTTGGCAAATGACTGTGTGAAATTGACATATAACATATAACATGACGAAATGTTATATGTATATTCTTAACATATAACATGACGATGGCGTTTCCAACTGTACATCTATCTGATCTCGATTTGTTGTTTGAATAACTTACCCCTCCAGAAGTTTGTCACTTGTTGGATAATTTTATCAGTGCTTTCAACTGATTAGAACTTAATTTGCTGTCCAATAACTAGGCGAAGGGATTTTTTAGTGCAGAAAAAATATCCACCTTTAACCGCGAAGCATATTTTATATCAGCGTCATATACTTGGATTTAAATGATGCAGCAACAGGCAAATTTGCAAGATATCGAAGTGCATATCTCCAATGCGTCTCTTATGATCTTGATGCAGTTTAAGGCTTGAAGAGGTTTCTAGCCAGTCAATGCAATTTAATGTTCGCGATGTCTAGAAAAGTCTACATTACTTGTTTTTATAGTATTTATGCTTCTCATTAAAAGAAGTTATTCTTATACAGCACCACGTAATTATTGACCATGGCGTTACAAAACTTCTTCTCAATACCGATCATCAGTTTTCATCGCATTTTCAGATTAATGCATTCTTCATTTATCATGATGCATTTGCATACCTGAATCCTATTACTCTTGTATATGCTTTTTTACCCTACTTTGGGAGGATAATGCAGTTTTATATTAGCGCCAGATAAATTGACTTCTGGAATCTAGGGCAGATTAAATCACTGCATGTGTTAAAAGTTCACAATATCATGATTGGCTTGTCCAATTTTTGTGGCTACAACACGCCATGGAAATGAGCACTTCTGTCAGTCTTTGAATAAGACGAATATAAATTGCTTCGAAATGCAGCAGACTCGCTCCAGACACTGAGACACTCCAGACACTGAGACACTGAGGAAGATCTCTTCCTCAGTGTCTGGAGGTATTGATATTCATATGCTTGCTATTTGGAAGTATTAGTCCCTTTGAGATCTACAAATTTTTTATAATTTTCCTGAGTTAACTTAATTAAGCAAAAGTAATGAGTACTTTTGAAATACGAAAAAAAAAATCATCTTCGTATCATCATTTTTTAATAAAATTTTCTATCAAATGTAGTTCGATTTGCTTCTTTTTTACCTTTTCAACTGTCTTATGATTAAAAAATATATACGCGTGGCAGCTTTGTATTGAAAATTCACCATAATGTAAACTGCTGTCATCTGTTTTGAACCTGTAACATATGAAAATAACATAGCCAAACAGTCGCCAGGTACTACACCTCTGTCGCAAGATTGTTCTTGATTCTGTTTACAAATCAGTCATCAAACTGGAAACCAAAATCGAGCAACTGTTTGTGATTAATGAGAAAAAAAATCTGCATATACATTTAAATATTTTACATTAAAATTCAAATCTCAATTACTCTAAATATTTTCAGTGAAATAATTACAATTACATACACTTGTGACAAAAAATAAGCAACAAACAGTAAAGAAAAGGTACGAATGCAAAAAGGGGAATTAAGACATAGAGTTTTTGTGTGAGGTTGCATCGCCAAATGCAAATGAGCAACCAAAACTAGCATAAAACACAATCCCACAGTCACATCACAAAGCCTTAGAAAGGGGTATGCCGAACCTATGCATCAGTTCGCAAGCAGCGGTAGTTCCGTTTCCCAGGATAGCCAAAGCTGAAATAATAAGCCGAAGATACCATTTGCACAGTGAAATACAATGGAGGGCTGTCGAGATATTGCAAGCTGGTGCAAGACAATTCGCATTTGCGAGAGAGCTGAATGTGCATCCTAATGTTATCAACACGTTGTGGAATCTTTATCAGTGGAATCAAAACTGTGGAACACGTATTCCACAGCCAACGAGGAAGCTGATACTGGAAACTTCGCCTCTCCTTACAAACGAGAAGATAAAATTCCCTCTATTATTTTAACAAAAGGGCATATAAATGAAGAAAAATCAAAGAAGAGTTAGAACTCTTTATACAAAGAAAGTTATAGGAAATCTTAGCGGTGATTCATTAAGATTTCCTATATGGATATATTAAACTACACGATGCAGATGATTATCAGATGACAGCCACGCAATTGAAAAATACCTGAATGCTGTTTCACACTTCTGTTACGTTATCAGAAAAGCGTAAAAAGCGAGTAATAAACAAAATATGTCTAATACTACAATTTCTGACATCGCTAAACATTCTCAGACGAATCGCTAAACATTCCCTTTTATAAAGTAAAAACTGTTAACAAAATACAGAAACGACTCAGTCATCCCCCATCCATGTTCCTGGTGGAAACTCTCAGAAGAGAGGAAGGCCAAAAATACCTACGAACTCGCATGCGTTCTATCAATGAGAGTTGTGGTAGATGCCAACCACTCAAAACCTGTAAGATTTGCATTATGCAAGTCTTACGTTGTAAGACTTGTACAATGACGCAGGCGCTTGCGTTATGTATACAGCATACAGCCAGAAAATGTGCTTTAGTAAGCATAGGTGTATCAAGAGCGCTCAGTATCATCCAACTTAGCAAAATGGATGACACACTAAAGAAAAAGCCCGGGTAAATGCATTCTCTGGGTGCGAGACAGCATATAAAGGAAATCTAGCGCATCCTAAAAATAATAAACAAATTACAACTTCATTGAAACCAACAATTATTCTTAATATTAATGATAATGATTTTCAGAATTTTACTCTCACCACGATCACAGAATTGGGCCCAGGGCGGAAAATATTCAAAAAAAAAAAAAAATCTTAAAACAAAACCAATTGAGGAGAAAATCCCTATTTCTGGAGAAAGATAAACAGGCTGGCTAAACAAGGCAAAAAAAAAAAAAAACTGTTATTCTATCATAGATAAACTGCAGCTGACCATTGAGATCACCAAAATACTAAACAAATTTGAACAGGGACTGTGAAACGAATTCGAATCAAGCACACAGTATTAAGGCAAGGAACTGCTACATTAAAGTTTAAGTTTTTAACAAAAAAGACGTTAAAATCAACTTTGTGAAATTAAGAACTATATCAAAAAACAGTGCATTACTGCTAAATGAGACTCATATTCGTCCTGTAATAGGATCAAATTGCGTGCATTCAACATACTTCACAAGGACAGAAATCATAACCGAGGTGGTTTCACCGCTATTCTCATTAAAAATTATCTTAACTACAGCCGTTACCAGTTGAGCTTGTTCTTATTAACGACTTCTTAAAGAAGCCAACTCTTGCCACCAAGGCTGTTTTCCGAATAGTACCCGCTCCTTTATCCAGGAGGCTGAAGGCAAATGTATATTATTTCTCTTACGGGAGGCAAGATTCAAAACAGTGACAGTTATCAGAATAAAGAGCCTCCTCCCTCCCCCAAAAAAAACTCAAATAAAAACTGCCAATTAGATTTTGTAAATTGAGGTTCATATTTGAAGTTCATCTTTAAATCGAAAAATTTTTATTTACTTTCTTGTTTAATAGAAAACACCACTGAAAAGTGAGCTATTAAGAAGCTATTTCAAAGAAGACGAATTGTTAATAATTGGTTTCATTATTTCCTACTCTCACTTAATAATTTCTAAAATTCTTCAAAAACCATTTAAAAATGTGTGAAAGAGTTCGCATTTTAATGGTCCCCCAAAAGGGTCTGTGAAGGTTTACTTATGCTCTCACTGAGCTCGCAGTTTACCAGTTTGCAGTTGCA